TTGTTCTCTCTTATAACATTCAGGGCTCACGTCATGATTCGTGTCTCTGTGCCATCGGAGGGGCTGATTCAGTCTGAGAGACACGCAGATGATGTAATGTGGTCCAGTAGAAAAGTACTGAATTAAAAAGAGATTAAAATACATGAGATGAGGAGCGGCTGAGACGTACACAACCATTTCAGCAGAAAGGCGAGGGAAGAACAAACTGCTGAAGTTCCCCTAGCTGGTCTCTGCTGCAAAAACAAGATGTAGGAAGTGAAACAGGCCCAAAGATAAAAGCTGACCCAGGATTTCTCTGCTCTGAATAGTCTAATGTAATGAAAGTTACCAGGCAGCTGAGGCTTACAACGACAAGTCAGCAATGAAGTTTAAGATAAAGTCTAATTCCTTAAACTTGAAGATTGCATTTATTTCTGTATTTTCTGGAATGGGAAACTGAAGCAGTTGAAGGAAGGGAAGAATAAAGTTAGGGGATGGTATTGAGAAAGCAGGTGTTGGTGTCCTTGGACGGGGCTGGCTCACAGTTCTTCCTCTGAGTGGTTTAAATCCAAGTTTATTTGTTGTTCAGACCCTGAGTGAGTTTGTTTCTTTCCTCAAGACTCTTCTGCCTTGGCCTTGACCTTGAACATAATGCAGAGCAGTCTCACAAGCTTTATTATTCAGTGGATGTGATGAGAGCATCACAGTCTTACCTTCTGTCTTTGGTACTTGTGAAATAGCAGAAAAAAAAAAGGCAGGCATTAATGGCTGCACTAAGATAAAATAGAATTAAACTAGGGAAAAACAGAAGGAGGAAAGGATGTAATTTTCCATTTTTGAAAGATGTGTTTAAAAGACGAAGGAATTTACCCCTCTGCTCTCCAAGCTATTTTGAAGTCCTAGCTTTAAAAATGTTTTTGTTTTTGTAGTGAAAATAATTGCTTCCAGTTCTTTTACTTGGAATTCTGGAGACAGAAAGCTGTGTTAAAGATCAGAATAATTTGAAGGTCTTCATTTATTTCTTCTCAATGGACCATCTCTATCTCATTTGTACTGCAAGGACACACTTCTGTATATATGTATAATGGAATTGGTGGTGAAAATTTTAGTGCTGATGAAACTTATAATTGAATACAAATTCACTTTATGTGTCAGTTTAAGCACATATGTATGTAAGTGTTAAAAGCTGAAGCTACCCACAAAATTGATGTTTACATTCTTGATTGCTGTTCTTTGGATAAACAAATATTTATTGGCTAAAATAGAATTGTGCATATACCCACCATCACATTTGAAGTTCTTTAAAAAATACTTTATTATTGGAAGAAAAAAAAAGCAAGCCAACAAAGTGTTTATTTTAGTTGCTTTCTAAAAATTATTATCATAGGTAAAAATTAAAATAAAACTGCTCTAGAGAATTGAAAAATCTGTGAGGATTTGAGAATCACTTACATTAATGCATGACTTCAGAAAGGCCCAGATGTATCAGGGTGATTTTTCAGGAAAGGGTTTCCAATTTGCACTGTAAATACCGTGTGATTCACAAGGATGCCAATGGTTGCAACCGTGAGCAAAGAGAAAAGTAAGATCAGCTTTTAAGCAATGCAGGGGAAATTAAACCTCAATTGCTAATGGTGGCAGATGGACAGGCAGTGGTCACACAGTCTGTGACTGCTGGAAGCAGCAAAAGGCAGATAGCACAAGAGCACTTCTAGGATAGAGAGCAGCTTTTGACCTTCAAGTATTGTGCTGCTTTCTGGTACTCCGGAAATTTACTTTGAAATTAAGACCCACGTGCTGCCGTAGCAAGATGAAACAGAAGATAACAAGGGATTCAGTAGGAAAATTTAAAGCAAATGTCTCTATAGATATCAGAACAACAGTGAAGAGGATCTGTGTGGACAGCAAAGTACGTGGATGAATAGTGATACCTTCTGTACTGGAAAACTTTTGGGTGGAAAAAGCCTGAGTGAGGACTGACAGTATTTCCTCTGGTGTCTGTATTATTTTTATCTCTGAAGAACAATAATGTGGTGTCGTGTGTAATTATACTGTGCTCCTGCATTGTTGGTTGTTGTTTTTTTTTGGCTTTCCTTTTATATCTTCTCAAAACACTTCCTTGATATTCATTGTGATACAGGAAGAGAGAGCTATGCAAATAAACACTTGATACTAAGTAAAATATTTTATTTATGCATGGATTAACTTTCTCCCTTCAGAATTTCTTTATGAGTACTGTGTAGACTACACAAAAAATGCACTCTGCATACACTTCTTGCATTTCAAATCTATTCTGTTGAATGGGTAATATGCTAGGACTTAAAGTTCGTGATTAACTCTCATAATTATATAGCATTTTATATTTTGAAATCCATTATTTAATGTGCTTTGATTGAAGCTCTCCTTTCACTCAGTGCCTGCTATTTATACTAGCTCTACAAATGTTTATGTTGATACCGCTCTCAAAACCCTGGGAAGGAACTTTAGATTTCAGTATAATACTGTGGGTTATAAAACTGACAGTGCAGGTGAAATGCACTGAGTATATGCCCTTCAGTGCACACACTACACTCAATCAGTGTGCAGAGGCTTTTGAAAAAAAAAAAGAGGTACTGGAGGGAAGGGGACAGTAACTCCCCATTGAAGCACGTACTGTCTTCAGTACCAGCTTAGGGCTATTTGGTTATTGGAGCCCAATGCCAATTTTATAGAATCATAGAACGGCCTGGGTTGAAAAGGACCACGATGATCACCTAGTTTCAACCCCCCTGCTGTGTGCAGGATCACCAATCACCAGACCAGGCTGCCCAGAGCCACATCCAGCCTGGCCTTGAATGCCTCCAGAGATGGGGCATCCACAACCTCCTTGGGCAGCCTGTTCCAGTTCCACCCCCTGTGTGAAAAACTTCCTCCTAATGTAGATGTAGCTATGTTCACTGAGGGCTAGGAGTTTTCATCTCTCAGGGGAAAAAAGCAGTTCTTTGTGATGAGGTGCAGGATCTTCTTTTTGGTGCCATCACACGCACTGTTTCACACACTGTATTTGTGCAATTTTACGTGACATTGAGTATACTGCTGTGGGATTAGATAGCACCTGCACATTGATACTACTGTTCCATTGTTATTGTTATGAACAAATGTTAACCTTGAGCTTGCAACAGGACCTCACAACAGGCTCACTGCTCATGTGCTTTAAGCTGCCAAAAAAAAAAATCCAACAACAAAAAAAAGAACCCGTTAGTAAAAATGCTTTTCTGTGACTTTACATTGGTGCTGGGTGAACTGCGGTCTCCCAAGGTATCTTCAGGTTTCTTACAGCAATAGACAAAGGCAGTTTGGATCAAATTATCTTATGTCCTCAACTTCAGCAGTTTGTTCTGTAGAAGCAGAAATACTCAAGAGCAAAAAGGTTAGCGCTTAGGTGGCTAAATACCTGATCTTGCAGATACAGCAAGTAATTAAACACTGGGCTTCCAGTAGTCTAGGGTGAGCTTGCAAACAAGCAACTTGCTTACGGGTGTACAAAAATTCCCTGTAGACCATTTTACAATAGATCAAGAATCATTCATACATTCACAATTATTAAAAATAAGAATCCTCTTCTTTATCTCCTCCCTCCCCAAAGCACATAATCCATGCAGAAGTGAACGTTTGGAAAATCTTCCAGTGAACTTTGTCACAAACTAATATTAGGCATTGTGGATCTACACCTCTAAGGGAAGATCCTGGCTGCCTCCGAGTCTCTTTGTGCAGGAATGGGGCATGGAAATGTTGGCGCACAAGATGGAGAACCTCTTCTTTAGAGAGATGGAGGTGAAAGATGTAGTGTAGGGCGCTATGATCTAACTTCTCCAGCTGTGTTTTGTTCACAGCTGGCTTACTTCAGCCCTCCATCTGTGCTGAGCTCTTATTTTGTTTTACATTGTTCTTCAAAGAACTGGCTTTAAAGATTAATTAGGGCAGGGGGAGTGAGAATATATGCCTGCAAGAGAAAATATGACCGTGAACCTAGCATTAGAGCACTGACCTGAAAGGAGGGAGAGAGGAAGGAAGAAGAGGTTTGAAAAGCCTTCCTAGTAGATTCTTTCAAGAGTAAGTAAAATTGCTATCCTCCGAGGGAGGAATATAGAGATAACATTGTATATATGTTTGCTGAAGTGCTCTGTAATTACATCGTGGGATTAGCAGTCAGGTTCCAGCCATGCAGATGCTAGCAGCTGTATTTCATCTGACTGAGCATGGATGCACATTCTGTGGGAAGGATTATCCTTCTCATTTGTGTTGGAGAAGAAATACTTGTGTGGTGGTTTGTCATCACTGATACACCTACTGTCTGTTTTAAACTGTTGTAACAGGCTTATCTGGATAAGGAGATTGCTGAAGGTCACTGTAGCAGCATATCTGCCCTGGAGCTGGGACTGCACAGATCATCAGCCTGGCGTGAGACAGGGATTTGAATCCAGCCGAGCTCCCTGCTAGATTGGCAGATGCAAAATAAAGTGGGGACATACAGGCATGGCTAACTGCAGCTGCAGTTCTCATCATTCAGAGTGGATTATTTCTTTGTTTCCTGAAGATCTGCTACACTAGAGCCTCTGCAGTATTTCTTACAGCTTAAGAGCAGCCTTCTCTAAAACACCGAAACGGGTTTTCTCTACAGTAATTATATTTGCACTTCTATTTGTTTTGAAGGTCACAGAAGAATCAGAAAGTTGGAGAGGGGGTGATTGAGGAGAAAAGATGATAAATCAGAAAATCAGAAATGTTGGAAATGGTTGGAATGGGAAATGAATATTTTGAAATATTTACTTCATTTGTGGATTGAGACAATAAATCATTCGTTTTTTCCTTTGCATCAAAAAAAATCTTATAGTATGTGTTCCGAACATTAAGTTGTTCTTCCAGTGAACTACTGTGTATAAAAAGGAAGTAAATGTTTGCTACATAAACCAGATGACTCTGTGGGAAACTGCTTGGTTTATGGCATAATGTTTTGTTTAATACCTTTTTTATTCCAACAGGAAATATGGGATGTATAAAGTCAAAAAGGAAAGAGAATCTGCATGGAGATGGGCTAGATTTGAAGAATCAATCAGTACGTAAAACTGAACGAACTATTTATGTGAGGGATCCAACGTCCAATAAACAGCAAAGGCCAGTAAGTAGATAGTCTCAGGGGAGAATTCCACTAGCAAGATCAAAGCATGACTGGCATAGCTTAAATTTCAGTCCAAAACACAAGCATGAAGAAATTCAAATTGATCATTAGTCTGCAATTTGGCTTTTAGTGTTGTGCAGTTCCCACTTAAGGGATATGTACTAAAAAAAAAAAAAAGTTATTGATTGATGAATTACATTGTTTTATGTGTTGTAATTTACATTGTTTTCTGCATGAAACACTGGGAGACTCCCTAGTCTCTCCTTGGGAGACTTTTGACCTAAATGTAGGTATGTCTGTAGAAGAATGCTAGGTAATTTTAGAGACATCGGTGCTGGATATTAATAGCTAAGGGATCCAGATGGTGATTACTTCTGTTTAAAACAGTTGAGGTTAGAGTCTTTACCAGTTGTAGTCAACCTTACTTTTATTCACTGAAGGCCGATATTTGACCTTACATAAGGTGTGTATGTAAGGGAGCAGAAGAGGAGCAGAATGAGTGCAGTTCTGAAGCCGGCAGTACTGTGGTGAAAGAGGAACAAGCTAAGGGAAGTTCCTTGTGTGCTATCTAACAAAAAAGAAGGGGTGCTGGGAAAGGAAATCTCACTGGTTAGTAAATAGGCTTGCTACTTTGCAGATTTACTCATACCTCTTTTCCCCACTCCCTCTTCTTCTGAAGAAGGAGTATTTCTTAACTGTCCTTACTCAGGGACTGCATTCTCTATGGATGTTGACTGCACCCTGCTATTGTTTGTTGCCAGCTGACACAGTATTATGCTGTGTATCAATGTACACAAATCACAATTACTGTTTGCATTGTTTTTAATTAGGTTTTTTTTTTAGCTGTGCTTGTAGCTCTTTAGCATGACAGTTCCTTACACCAGCAATGTGATACTAGCCATCCAGTTATCCCATGTAAAGCCTGTTCAGCAGAAGTTGCAAAATGTGAACTTTCCCTTGTTGAACAGCTTCCTGGGGTCTGAGCTGCTCAGTTCAAAATCTAGTTGGGTTTTACTGTATTTTCTTTGTTGTAATTTGCTTTTGATGAGAGGTCAAAAATGATTGCAAAATGCTTCATAAGACATATAAGATAATAACAAAGCAAGTGAATAATATGTAACTGTAATGTAGTGTTGGCTCAGAGATATAAAACTGCTTAATTAAAGGCATATTTCATTATAGGCAAATACAGATGCACACCTTCTACCGGGACAGATATTTGCCAATGAAGGTAAGCTTTCCAAAGGAATCTTGCTGCCTATGTGTTATGTCCTCATCAGATTGTGAAATAATCAGAATAATCCTTTGCCTTTCTATATTTGTAGAGCCAGAAGAGCATGGACTCATTGTAGTAGCTCTGTATCCTTATGATGGCCTTCATGAAGATGACTTGTCCTTCAAAAAAGGAGAAAAATTGAAAGTTATTGAAGAGTGAGTATGATAGTTCAAATTGTATTGTAATTTCCTTTTTTTTTTTTTTTTTTTTGACTTCTAAAATTCTTTTATAATTTTTTAGGTGCCACTTGTAACACAAGTATACAAATGTTAAGAAAGATCCCTTATCTGTGAAAACGTGAATGTGGGTAGAGCTTGGCAGCTGTAATGATAACCAAGCTTTGCTCTGATGGCACCAATGGCTTCTAAGTGGAGCCTGAATGCAGAGAAAAGGCAGTTTTTCTCTCCTTGGCACAACAGAAACTGAACAACCATTTATGACTTTCCTTTCCTGTGTGTACTACTGTTGTGTGTGTTTTTCAGGCTGGGAGACTGGTGGAAAGCTAAATCTCTTACAACAAAGAAAGAAGGTTTCATTCCCAGCAATTACGTAGCAAAAGTAAACACCTTGGAAACAGAAGAGTAAGTTCTTCTAACTACTGCCAGGCTTCATTTTCAACCTTGTGTTGTATCTTTTGTGGGTGGGGGAAAAAGTTCTAACCCTCTGAAATATTTTTCAGGTGGTTCTTCAAAGACATAACTCGAAAAGATGCTGAAAGGCAACTCCTGGCTCCTGGAAATGGCCCTGGAGCATTCCTTATCAGAGAAAGTGAAACATTAAAAGGTAGACTTTTGGATGGGTGATTTTGGAATTGATATCACAGTTAAAATATGCAAGCTGTCTTCAAAAAAAAGTTTGCATCAAGTGCTATGGAATTATACCAGTCTGTCAGTTTTGAAATGACTGCAGCTACTTAGGAGTAAAAAGTATGAGAAAACTATCAGGGAAAGAGATGAAAGCTACAAATTCTTAAGTTGAAGCAGAGGGGAATGTGTGTACCTGTGATTATTACACTGACAAGAAGCAGCAATGAATGAAAATATCTTTTTCCTTCATAGCACTCATGATTCCTTTGTTAAAGGACAGTTTTAGTTCTAAACAGTAGAAGCTGTATTTTATTGTCTTCCATTTTTGTATCTATATCCATCACTGCAAGTTTTAAAGTATAGTTAATGCATAAAAGGAGTCTACACTTCTGTGTTGTAGCATCATCTAAAACACAAACAAAGAAACAGTTTGGTAAAGATTTCTGATATACAGATACAGCCCTTTGTACTAAATGTTTAGGAAGTTCTCCAGGTGTTTCAACTGAGATGTATAGAAGAGCATAAGATGGTTCTGCTCCAACATTTCAACTCTAACAGTGACCTAACTGGATGCTCCAATTGGATACATTGGATCCTCCAGGTGGAAAACATGCTAATCCCTTCAGTGGATCATATGTCTGTCCTATCCATAGCAGTAGGTTTTTTTGGCCCTAACATTGCAGATGGCCAAATATTGGAAGTGGTTGCTTAGGGAAGTGGTGGAGACACCATTTCTGGAAGCATTTAAGAGGCATATGAACATGGCATTAAGGGACGTGGTTTAGTGATGGGACTCAGTAGGTTAGGTTAGTGGTTGGACCTGATGATCCAACTTAAATGATTCTATGATTGTTGCTTAGAAAGTTTTCTGTAACTAGCCCACATCACTGTCTCTGTGCTCTCTAATGAAGACAGTGATTTAAATTCAACAGAGGCTTGTAGAAGTAAGGCAAAGTACCAACTAAATATTTTCTTCTGTCTCCTGTCACTGGATGTGCATGTGGAGAGAAAGAGAAGGAACCGAGGTGGTTTCTTCTCCTTTGAAAATGGATAATGAGATCTGTGTAAGTGAAAGAAATTAAGAATTCTGTGGTTTAGGATCGATAATATGCTGCCCCATCTTAATTCCTAACTGAGGTTAGAATCCCAAATACTGAAAGGCCTTCATGCCTTCTTGCATGCCTCAGGCCATTTCCAAACAATCCCTTTTCTAGCTGGCCAAGACATCTAGCCTGTTCCTTTTTTAACATGCTGATCTTCGAATTTTAGTTTCTATTTCACTGGTTTGACAACCCTAGAGTTGCTTTCCCAGATGTTTCTACTCAAATCAGTGTGACTTTATGCAGAAGTGTACATTAGTTATGGATGACTGGATTATGGAACTCTTAAATTTATTGAATAAGAATGAAAGAGAAAGTCTGACTGTAAGCACTTTGGTGACCAGTTCAGAGCTAGCTATTGACTGAATTCCTTATGTTACTTGCAATAGGCTTTTTTGAGGAAGAAGAGAAGTAAAAATAAAATAAATTAAATATTTTTGTTGATAACTGTGTGTGTGAGCAGCCCAGACTTGCTATCTGTTAATAATCATTCTTTCTTTATTCTCAGGCAGCTATTCTCTGTCCATAAGAGACTATGATCCCCAACATGGTGATGTCATTAAGCACTACAAAATTAGGAGTCTAGACAATGGAGGATTTTACATCTCTCCAAGAATAACTTTTCCCAGCATCAATGATATGATCAAGCACTATCAAAGTAAGTTAAATGTGTCAGTGGGTTACGGAATAGAATACAGCCATTATTTCCTGTGAAAGAAAATAAATAATTACTTGTTTTGTTTCAAAACTTTTTGTCTCTTATTTCTAAGTAACTCGGATATGCATGTTATTAAAGATAAAGTAAAAATGACTGGAACCCTACTAAGGCTGCTTTACAACAAGGCCTAATACATGCTCAGTTGCATGCAATTGTAAAATACAGAACAGCTTTATAAAACATAGTGATGATGATGTGAGACAATAGACAAGACTGACTGCATTCTAAATAAATTCTGTCTTTGAGAGTATATTGCACCTACTTTTATTACAAACAGGAAGAGGGATAGGATCAAGTTTCCACCTATACTTCAGCTACAAAAGTGACTTTTTATTTTGCACAACCTGTTGTTCAGTAACTCAACAACATATATATATATATATTTGTCTTGCCTTTGGGAAGACAGAGAAGAAGAAAGATGTAAATCACATCAATTTTTCAAAGCCATGCTGAGTTCTTGGCCATGATGTTTCTCTAAGTTGTTAGATATGTGTAGTAAGGTAATTTTTCTGCACAGCTTGTAAGCCTGATAATTATTTTACATTTGTGTTGAAGTTATAGCTGATATGTGGCTGGAGAAAAAAATAGTTGTGACCTATTTCTGCTTGCATTCCTATGTGTGTGCACATCTGAAACATACGATAAGAATACCTGATGACAAATTCCGAATACAGGTTTCAAGCTCAACACAAATGTGCATCTTCATCTACGTACTGTTATCAATCAAACCTTAAATTTATTTGTTACAAATTGTAATTAATAAAAAACAAGCAAACAAAAAAAACCAATGATGGCAACCAGATGCATGTGACACCTCTCTATTAAGTGTGAAAAGATTATGCTTTTATCAAGGAACTGAACTACTTTGAATCGGCTTTGAACTGGTTAATGCACGCTTAAATTTGTCTAAAAGAATGTAAGACATTAAAGCGTAATGGATTTTATTTCTTTTGGAAAACAGAACAATCAGATGGCTTATGCAGAAAACTGGAAAAAGCTTGTATTAGTCCAAAGCCTCAAAAACCATGGGATAAAGATGCATGGGAAATTCCACGAGAATCAATTAAATTAGTGAAGAAGCTCGGAGCTGGTCAGTTTGGAGAAGTCTGGATGGGTAAGCTTATGTCTTTGAAAAGAGTCATCAGCTGAAAGTAGTAGCGTTTAAGAATTAATCCGAGCAACAGTAGATATGAAGGCCTGATTTAATATACTCAGAATATATTTGCCATGAGGAAGAATAATAGGAAAGAGGATTTGTGAAAGGGTAAGGTATCTGACACAGACTAATTCTTAGGAGCAAGCACTGTAATATAAGGTCTAATACAACCGGTTTTGTTGTTGTTGATGTGCTTTATGGGGAAAATAGAAGGTTTTACTAAGATTTGACTCCCAGTTCTCAAAATTGGTTGGCATCTCAAAACTTTAAGTCGAATCAGGTTGTGGTGGAAAATCTGAAATATAAAGTAATTGTCTTTTAGTGAATTATGTGTAGTTTTTATCATCCATTGGTAAAGAAAAGAGTGAAATATAGTTTATGGGGCTATTATACTGCATGAAAAAAATGGGTTGTTTAATCCAAGATTATTGTCTGAGCTTGTTGCTGAGGAAGGTAGGTGACTTACATGAGTGGAAGGTGAGAGATTGATATGGAGACTATCATGCAGGTCTCCAGTAATGAAAGCATCACAAGATTGTAGTAGGCAGTTAACAAATTTATAGTGTTAGTTATAATCATAATTAGCCTTGGTTGCTTAAAAACATTTTGTCAGCTTCAATGACTTCCTTTAACAAAGAATTACAATCATTGTCTAATCACAGTCTGATCATGATTCAATTCTCTTCTTTTGAAATGCTGCCTTTTCAGGCATCTGAGTATTCTTTTGGTTTCGTATTACATGTTCTGTGTGCTATTCTTTACTTACACACTGGTTAGTGATTACTATCTTACTTGACTTAATCAAGATAAACGATACCTTCCTTAGGTAAAAGTAAACCACGGCGTGGTTCTATTTGAGTGGCAAATTCCACACGTGTTTACAGTCAATCAGAAAGGTGTAATTCAGTTGTAGGTGTAATCTTCCCATATAAACCATGTAAAAATGCCAGCAACGCATCTCTATGATGTTAAATAACCAGATTCATCCTTTTGTCTGCCTTCACAAGAAAAGGCTTAACAAAGCCTCTGGCTTGAATGACAATTTTTGTGCTAGTTGAGACAAGTGTTTGCCATTGAACCATTTTTCTCTGCCTAATAAATCAGGGCAAGAAATAATGAACTGACACTGAAGTACTGTGGACAACTTCATGGCCGAACATTATCACCCTGTTGAAAATGAAAATCATTATGGGAAGTGACTATTTCTGCATACACACACAAAGGCATTAAACTTTGAAAGGGTGTTTCTGTTTCAAGATGCTTCCTCTTGTTTGTGTCCTTATTTTGACATCTCAGTTGGGTCTAACCGTTGTATCTGAATTGCTGTGCTGTGAGAAAAATTAATGCACTGTGAAATGATTCATTGTGTTTCCTCTTCTCTGTTTCCTTTCTGAAGCAAGAACAGCTGATTAGCTTGGTGCAGACCCTTTCAAATCAGGAGTATGGGTAAAGTTTGAGATGAAAAAAGACTATGTGATCTGTGCAGGATGCCAGCAAGCAAATGTGATGATGACCAATATAGAGGCATTTGGCATTACGTAGAAGTATGGAGAAATCTCCCAGTTATATACTTCATCTGAAGCAAAATGATTCTTAGGCCACAGGATGAGAAATACTACTCCATATCTTAATTACTAAAGACATTTCAACTTGCTCAGGGTTACCTAGAATTTTGTTTTCAGGGGGCAGAGCATCCAGTTCAGAGGAACTGTATCTAGTTTTAGGTTTCTCAGTACAAGAGAGACACGGAACTACTGGTGAGATTCCAACAAAGGGCCACAAAGTTGATGAAAGGACTGGAATATGACTTCCATGAGGAAAGGCTCAGAGAACTGAGACTATTCAGCCTGGAGGAGTGTTGGAGGCAATCTTATCAATGTCCGTAAATATCAGAAGGGAGGGTGCAAAAAAGAGAGAACCAGGCTCTTTTCAGTGGTGCTCAGTGCCAGGATGGGAGGCAGTGGGCACAAACTGGAACAGAGGAGGTTGCTTCAGAACACCAGGAGCACTTCAGTGCTGTGCAGGTGACAGAGCACTGGCACAGTGTGTGTGGGGGGGTCTCCTCCTCGGGGACATTCAGTGATCACCTGGATGTGGGCCTGGCCCCCTGCTCTGGGGTCCCTGCTGCAGAGGGGGTTGGGCCCAATGTCCCTTCCAACCTACACTGTTTAATGTTGTTATGAAGAAGAATTGGGTGCACTCTCAGCAAATTTGTGCCAAACTGAGTGATGCAGTTGATATTCTAGATAGCAGGTACCATTCAGTGTGGCCTTTGCAGGCTTGAGAGGTGGGCCTATATAAATCTCATGAAGTCCAGCAAGGTCAAGTGCAAGGTCCTGCAGCTGAGTCAGAGTAATGACCGGTATCGGTACAGCCTGGGAGACTGAGAGCAGACCTGCAGAGGACTTGGAGATATTAATAGATGAAAAATAGGATGCAAGCCAGCAACGAGCGCTTGTAGCCCAGAAAGCCAATCGTGTCCAGGCCTGTGTCAAAAGAAACGTGACCAGCAGAGTGAGGGATGTGATTTTCCCCCTCTGCTCTGCTCTTGTGAGACCCCATCTCAAGTCCTGCATATCACTCTGGGGTTCCCAGCACAAGAGAGACGTGGAACTGTTAGAGCAGGACTGGAAAATGACTGTCCTATGAAGGCAGACTGTGAGAGTTGAGGTTGTATAGCCTGGGAGAAGACTTCAGGGGGACCTTATTTTGGCCTCAAAATATTTAATAGGTGCTTATAAGAAAGGTGGAAAAAGGCTTTTTACCAGGGCCTGTAGTTGATAGGTTAAGCTTTAAAGTAAAAGAGGGTAGTCTGAGGTTAGAGATAAGAAATTCTTTACTCAAAGAGACCATGGAAGAGATTGCCCAGAGAAGTTGTGAATGAAACTGGAAGTGTTCAAGGCCAGGTCGAATGGGGATTTGAGCAATTTTGTCTAGTGGGAGGTGTCCCTGCCCATGGCAGGGGGTTGGAACTGGGTGGTCCTTCAAGTCCTTTTCAGCCTAAACGATACTATGATTCTGTGCCTATAGGTGAGGAAGGAGTGATGAGCCAAACTGCAATAGGATGTGAAGAAGCTGCTGTTCCTCAGTTAGCATCCTGGATAAACTCTTGCAGCTGTGATGGCCTGAGACATTATCTGCCTTCTAACAGTGTCATATTTCTGTAGCTCAGGTTGTTCACGGTGTAACCTTATACACTGTGAAGGCAGAAGAAGGAGAATGCTGTGTGTTGTTCACAAGATGATCTGTTCATCTTTGGTCCTGGACATGTGATCGGAAATGCTTTATGACTGGTCTGTTATAGATTCATATCACAGCTTGGTCTGATTAAGCCCATGCAAGAATCCGGAGACAACCTGGCTGTCCAGGACTTGTGTGTTATTGCTTGCATCACATACAGTGTTTTAAAAAAGCCTAAACTGCTGAGAGACTTGGTCCTGTCATGGTATGGAAAGCTTTTCAGCTGTGGAGGTTAATGCATTCGGGCAGCTCCCTTAGTGCAGTGACAAACTAGAGTAGTACTGTAAGAGTAGAGTCTATGCTTTATGTATTTCTGTTCCTAGTGTGCACTGACATGATGTGAACCATAATGCTCTGTGGCATTAATAATCCATGCATAGAATTCTCAAGTAGGGGTAAGAGAAAAGTTAACAACACAAATAGAGCCATTATAGTGTATTTTATTAATGAGGCACATTTTGCTTGCATCTCAGTTGCAAAACCTTCATTTTTTAAACCCCAAGTTAGAATATAAGTAATACAAATTTTGAGATATCAGTAATCAGAGTAAACCATACTGCATAAATTGTGTTATTAACACAAAGGCATATAAAATGAACTGGGAAAACTGGTGGGTGCATCTCATCAGCATCACAAGTGTGTTTTTACAGCACACACAGGATCTGAACATTACTTGGCAAAGAATCTGAATTTCATGTCGGATGTCTTAGTAAGAACATAATTTCTTACCTATCATTTTGGAATTTGTGTGTGTGTGTGTCCCAATACCTGATGAAAGAAATTAATGAGAGACAGATCAGGACCAAATGTCTCTAATGCCCTTGTCCTACTTTGATTTCTGTTACCCCCATAGGAGCAGGACAGACTGTTTTCCTGCAGAAAACATCAGGGTTGGGTGAGGTTTTTGTCGTTAGTAATGTAAACCTTCTGTAGGCACCAACATCATCTGGTGGACTTCTTTATTGAATGTGAAATACTTTTATGCTTTTATGTAGTTAATGTCAAGAGCGTAGATAACTTCAGAAGTAATGGTATTAATTAGGATGTTTAGCAGATTATTCCACAAAAGTGGAGTGGAACTAATGCTCTCACTCAGGATATGGAATAGAACATTATGAGCTGTATAAAGATGCTTTATACTTTGTAAGCAGAAAGCGATTTAACTTCTTTTTTGATGGGTGGAAATTATATATCTGAGCTTCAGTGGCAGAATTTGACCTGTCGTTGTCATTTCTAATTATTAGATCGTATGGAGGCATGCTTGTATTATGCTTTAATCTTACTACGCTTGGAAAAAATACATTTAAAAATCGTGCAGGTAAATGTTTTGTCACAGATACAGTTGCTTTTGTCAGGCAGTGATCTCTCTTTTCCAAAGGTGATAAAATATGTATTGGTTAGAGCAATGACTTAGGATCTTGGAGTTAATTCCTTGCTTTGCTTAAGCAACAAAGAGTGTAAAGAAATGTAGTGTAAAGAACCGGTGGGCTCAAATGTAGAGGTACATCCATTGTGGTAATACAGTCCAGATTCATGGAAGCCATGGAAGCTTTGCCTCTTCTGAGATGCATTTTTGCAACGTTGCAATGTGTAAAATAGGTGACAAAAGGCTGTGGCTTGATATTACTGAAGCGTTCTGTAAATCTGGAACATTAGGAAGAAGTTGTTTTTATACCCCTCTCTGCCTCTGGTTTTTTTTTCTTCTTTACTTTTCTTTCCCACAGTAAAAGGCTTTACAAGATAAACTTTAGGATAAATTTTTCCTATTTTGTTGATTTTTAAATGCTATTTTAACATTTAATAAATATTTGGCTCAGAAAATAATTCACTACTTTCTTATTTACAATTGCTTACATCGCATATCAGTAGAACATTACATCAGAAGGTTAAACAGAGAATGAAGCAGTCGCAGTCATTTCTGCTCTTGGCATGTGCTTTGCTGGAAAGGAATTACCATGTTTTGAGTCTTGCTGCGAACTCTACAGGGCTGCAGTCCTGCCAGCATATCTTTGTTGGTCACATGAATGCTCTTTTGATTGCACTTTACTGAAATGTTCCATTTTGAGTACCGAGGGTTTAAGAAAAGATTAAAGGCATGAGACAAGCAGGCATAAAATGGGTCCAATCATGGTATTTAAAGACACTCCATGATCCTGTAAGCACTCCATTGCCTCTGTTAGAGTTTGAGACAATTTATGTGAACATTCATTAAAACACCTCTTGACTGTTTTGATATTTTCTCATGGGCTACTTATAAATGCAAGTGGCACAAAGTAAGATATCTTTCTTTCTTTAGGTGGTTTTTTTGAGATAAGTCATTCAAAATAATGAAGGAAATTGATTAGTTTTACTAAATGAGATGGCAAAACGAAATGCGATTTTAATGTAAATACTTGTGCTACACCTGATCACAAGCTCTTGGGTTCGTAGCTGTTAATGGAATCTAACCTCACCCGTGTGTTCCTACAGGTAAGGGTGCTGTGCTAAACAGAGTGACTGAACAGGGTTTCCTCTTTTCAGGTTACTATCATAATAGTACGAAAGTGGCTGTGAAGACTCTGAAGCCTGGAACGATGTCTGTGCAAGCCTTTCTGGAGGAAGCCAACCTCATGAAGACGCTTCAGCATGATAAGTTAGTTAGGCTTTATGCTGTAGTGACCAAAGAAGAACCTATTTATATAATAACAGAATTCATGGCAAAAGGTGAGAATGACACAGGATCGGCGTCTCACTAAATGCTTCCCATAAGTCAGTGCACTTCCTTTAAGAAGCAAGGAACAGAAAAGGAAAACTTGGGATTTTAGCTCTATTCTCTTGTATGCTCCAAAATAAGGCATCTGTCTTCAAAGGGAGAAATATTTAAATTCATAATTCCTTGTTGCATTTTTAAGGTAGCTGTTTCTACAGATTTCCTAAATGTATCATTCTTGAATTGTTTTAGATGCAGAGCATATAACACCCAAGTTTATCTGCTTCCTCTGAGTTCCAATATCTAATTTTTTGGTCTGGTGTTCTAATGAGGCACTCAGTAATGAAAATGTTAGAGATTGCCTTGTGTAGCCCTTGAATTGATAAGCGTTTGGGTAATAAAGTGAGCGATGTGTGCAAGGATTGCTGCACTACTAGAAAAGGACAACCTGTAGCAGAGCATCATGACACAATAAAGTGCAATTTCCTTCACAGATTGTCTTAGTAGTGGTTTTTAGTTTATTTGTTTCAGTCTGTTTTCAAGCAGTAGTGATGATGACTTCATAAACACCAGCTAGAATTCAGAATTCAGGAACTTATTCTTTATGACTTTGAAAGAATTAATCAGTGTGATTCTCCTAGAGAGCTTTCTTGATAGTCCGTAGAATAGGGTCGTTATCAAATTCACCACTGAATGAAGGTATGATTAGTTTTCAACACTCAAGAAAACCGCAAAACTTGGATACTTGACGTTCTGGTGTGAGCATTACTGTCATTAGATTATGTAAAGAGATGATCTTACTGCAATCAACTTGAAAATAAGTCAAAACTATTCACTACAAAAAATCTGTGACCCGAGAAATTGGGTACCCATTGGGAACTTTATTGTGATAGTAAGCTACACTGACTTAATCATTCTCTGTTGTAACAGGAAGCCTGCTGGATTTTCTGAAGAGTGATGAAGGAAGTAAATTGATGCTTCCAAAGCTAATTGACTTCTCTGCTCAGGTAAGATTTAAGAAATATGCTAAAAATTGAGGGGGGCTATTTGTCTCCAAGACTGAAATTCACAATGGAAAACTTCACCATATTTTTCTTTTTCATGAAATGAGAATGTAGTTTTCAAACATATTTTGGTCTGAATAGACTGGGTTACTTGAAAAAGGGGATAGAAGAAAAAAGTGTTTCAAAGTGACCATGTGAAGGTAGGCATCCCTCTTCGATAGCGCTGGTGAGCTGCTTAGATGGCAGTGGTACACAGTCACTTCCCTTTGTGGAAAGACTGTTTTCACTTAGAGCAGCTATGAGGTGGAAGTTTAAGTGCAAGTTCTATGGAGTCAGCACTTATGAGATTCGTTAATAGGAGGATAGTCTTCATAAATTAGGTCAATTAGTCAGATCTCTCTGTTAACTTCTGCAGAGTATTGCTGTTTTCAAAATCTAATGTAAATTACTGTGAAATTAGTAAAATCTAATCAAACGGTGTTTCGGGTGCCAGTGGCTGACTTATGAACCAGTGATTGTTTAAAAATGCACGAGTTATCCCATAACTATTTATCATAGCCCAGAGTCACTTGTATGTCAAAGTCTGTGTCAGATGCCTGTAGTCTGCTGTTCTGCCTCTGACGGTTACAAACTTCAGGTGTCCAGGGGGCATATAGAAAATAAGGTGAGAATTGTGGGTCTGCATAATTACAATTTACGTAAAGTTGTAGCTCATGTTACTAATATGTAATGAAGGCATTTCTGGTAGGTTTTCCTGTCTCCAATATGTTCTTAATGCATTATAGTTTGCAGAGGGTTGTAGCCTGTGTTACTAACTTGTTACAAGTCATGGGGAAAGACGAGAAAGCCCTTAAGAGATTTAATAAAATATTAGTGATTTATACAAAAACATTTGATATGAGATCATTACACAACTGTTAAATACATTGTATATTGAGACATTTTTGTAGGTGTTGTAGGTGTTCATGGTGTTGTAGGTGTTCATGTAGGTGTTCAATATCTCAAATACAGATTTTTTGTAACAGATTCAATACAGGAACTGTTTTTACTATAATTATTGGTTCAGCGTAGCTACTGGTTAAGTATTCTGAACTATTTAGGTAATTCATCCTTGAGAATTTAGTGGAGATAAAAGCTTTGTAGATGTGAAAAAAACCATTTGATTCCGAGCCCTAGTTTGGAGATTGGAAGATTGGAAAAGAAAAAATAAATAAGGAATTAATATTTGGTAACTTTGAAAATAGTGGGCAAAATTGAAGGGAGAGAAGAATATCTGTGGTCAGTGACTGACATGGAGGAAGGCTGAAGGTCAGTTAGCACGCGTGGTTGTGCAGTAGGCCTTTTTAATAGAGTTCAAGTTGTTGTGTTGTTTAAAAGAGTTTAGCATTTTCAGAAATTTCAAACATAAAAAAAACGTAACAAATTGGAGAATGAGAAAAGGCAACTGCATAAAAACCTGGGTAAATAACTTCCACTGCGACAGGGGTCAGTGATCATAATTTACAAAGCTTTGAATGGAGGCTCATTTGAAATGGAGATGACTGATCATCCTGATCTGCCAGTAACCTCTTTGAAAGCCTCTTCCTGCACTTGGCCTCAGAGGGCAGCACCTTAGGCAGCACAGGAGGTATGTGAAGTCGCTTTCTTCACATAAGATGTAGACTGTTCAGAGAAACGTCTGAGATCAAGGCGTGCATTTGGTTGCAGAGTTATTTTAAAAGGATGTTCAGGAAACACTTTCTGAAGATTTCCAACTGCAGCCCAAATAAATGGAACAGAGAACAAAATCCAACTGCAACAGGGATTTTTTCTATGGAAAGAATTTGTGGGTTTTTTGAGCACGTTTGTTAGAGGCTTTGAACATCGTCAACTGAAAACAGGACTGCATGGGATAGATTTGCAGGCTGCATTTGGTTCTCAGGCCAGGGATTTCACTTGGAATGACAAAGATGTTGCATTAGTCCTGTCTAATTCTGGCTGTTCAATTGCCTGTTCTGTAAGACAAAAGTCAAACTAACGTAATTTCAAACTGTGTGGGCCTATTGCTTAGATAATGGTGATTTTACTGCAGGCTACTTATGGACCACATACTACAAGACTGTAGGCTGTATTACACAAATGAGAGCATAATGTGTGTTTGGTTAGCTTAGGTAGTACTTTGGCTTGTCTAAAAGGGTCGTTAGTTTATTCTTACAGTAATGATGTTAAACTCTGAACAGCCTAAGGGGAAAGAAATTCAGTGAGCTGTGCTTCAGAAGAGGCATGGAAGGAAACCACAGTGAACTAAAATGAGATCAGGAATGTGTTTTTCTTTGGTGGCACACACATGAGCCACGCGTGCCTCTCTGATCGTGCTTTTCCAGTAAAGCAGTTTACCAGCCTATCCAAGCTTCTTGGGGAGACTGAAAACATAACAAGTGGTAGCAGAGGATTGTCTTTTCTCATCTGATGAGTCTGTGATATTGCACAAGACTGACTTGCTCACAGCCACGCTACACAGCTGGCTTGCTTGTGTCCTCATATGTGCGCGTGAGAATCTTGTTGCAAGAAAAGAATTCTGAAAGAATGTTACTCATTGCAGAGCAATACTTTAGCAATGGAATTGTGAGTCAGCAGAACAAAAAGGGACAGGATATGCTTCCACTTCATATGTTGTCTTTCTATCTAGAGGGATGGCATTTGTCACCTTACAGTGGCCTTGTTGGATAAGGAAGGATTGAGGATAAGAGGAGGATGTGGCTGTGCGACTAACAGACAGCCAAACAATGTAGTGCCCTTAGACGTGAACCCAGTTCTGGAGCTGATTTGTCACTGTGCTGAAGACTGCAGTGGGTTGGTGTTCCATTGCCAAGCAGCTGGTCAGTGCTCTGCTCCCTGAATTCATAGAACCTGTGCCTGGAGAAATCTTGAAAGAAATCTGTGTTTGCAAGGGATAAAATATTCTGATTTTGGAAAAAAAAAAAAAAAGCAGCAAAGATTTCTCCCACAGGGAATAGGAAGCATCTTTTTCAAGCAAGTCCATGAATATATTGCTACACCACTACCCTGATTTTGCTGTTTTGTTTGCTGACCATACACAGATATTGATATCATTTTTAATAGTACCAGATGAGTACTGAGGTAGACTTAAATCTGGTTCTTATCTTTCAGCATGGCTTTGGGCTTGGATATTTTTTTTTTTAATTTCTATTCTTTGCTATGCAAGCAGACACTATTTATGAAATCAGGTCTATGGAAAACATTGCAACAAAGTCGTTGCTAGGAAGGTGGTCCAGCTTGGTTTCTAAATCTGTGCCCTAAAAGAGCTGAAGTTTCTCTTTCGTGTTTTAAATAACATGTGTGAATAGAGGCTGGGGAAATCTGGTGTTGGCCCTGCCCTAGCAAAAATACATTTGGCCCCTAGAGATGAATGCAGCAGTCTCTGTAATGTTTTAAAAGAAGCTGAGCTTGGCAAACCTTCAGCAAACCTTCGGCACACATTGCCTGCATTAATGCAGAGCAGGGCTACGGTATCACCTGCAGAATTCATCAGAACTGTAAATTTGCAGTATATGCCAGAACCAAAGCCAGGACACAACATGTGAGCCTCCCTCCCTTATGGGCAGCTGAGCAGCACAGCGGACTAATGGGCTGCCCTTGCAACTTCCTCTGCCAGCCAGCCTGATACAACTCACAGGCACTTCCACTTCCTGCTGCTTCTGCCTCTCAGCTCAGCAAGAGGGCTGAGGAAACATGGGGCTGCTCTTAGCTGCTGCTTCCCAGTCCTGAGCTTGAGCGTATGTGGATTTCATCACTTTGTCCACAGTCTACACTGCCAAATCTTGCTAATGCAGCAGCCAGAGCATGCAGACTGCTCTCATTCCTCTCATTTATGGGCAGTAGCCAGGCAGTTGCATTACCAGAAGTGATGCCACACTGCATTTCACCTAGCTATTTTCTGTCTTGTCTCAAAGCTAACTTGCCCACAAAACTTGTAGTTCTTTGTTTCAGTTACTGAAATGACACTCGCCTCTGTTTTATGAGGTCAGCTAAGACAATATGATGCAAATTCAATGAACCTTTTGAACTAAGTTATGTTCTGCTCTTGTTTACTAAAAGATGAAAGCCCTTTTTTTTTTTTTTTTTTTGCTACTAAACTGAAGAAGTTCTGGATTCCTTAATACCCCAGTCTCTCAATTCAGGCACGCTTCATTTCTGCTGGCAGGCAGCAGCAGCATGGAAGGTATTTTGAAGCAGCGTTTATTCACAGCTCCTTGGCTTCTGCTGGGTGTGCTTCCACCTGGGCTGTCACATGTACAGGTCCTGAGAAGAATAAAAAGCCACATCTGTCAATACAAAGTGAAGCCTTTTAAAAGTGTACCCAAGGCATCTCAGAGTAATCTAGATGAGTTCTGTTTAAAAACCATGGATGAAATAGAGCTGGGAAATGTCACAGTGTTTTTATCCTAGCGTTTCTTAGTAGTTTGCTTTGTTTTATTTTGTTGTTTGTTTTATTGTTCATTTGTCACTCAGAAAGGCTAAACATGACCTGGATGCTTGTATTCAGCTGTTGAATGCCGTGCTTCCCCTCCTTCTGTCATTCAAAACTCCCTGCCTGTTTAGGAAAAGGAATACTTTTCCTATTTGTTTGTTTGTTAGTTAGTTTGTTTTGCCTGCTCCAGTGTTTGTACATGCATGGCTTCACTGCAGTCCTCCGATTGGATGCACCAAAAACCTTTGTCCTGGAATTTCACAGAAGTGCAATTTTTATTTGCTGAAAATGTAATGAATTGTTTGCTATCACATTCTTAGTCTGTGACTAATCAGATGATGTCTTCAATTGTTCTGGCATAAAGAAGTGAAATAAAACAGGCTTTCCCATGGCTTTGCTTGGCTGGGTGTAGAAACTAAATGCCACCACCACCACCTTCTCTTTCCTGAGATGGTTCTTTACTCCACAGTCAGCAGCCAGTCTAAATGTTGCATCTGTGCATGGGAGTATGAGGAAAGTCAATTCCTTCATGATGGTTGCTGTATTTTCACACTGACATTGGTGCACCTGTCTGCATTACAGTTCTACGTGCCAAGCTGGCCAGTCCAATTTCAGCATAGATCTTAATGCAAAACCTTCACTTTCACATTTCCTTCCTCCCCAGACCCAAGTAATTATATTTGGAGGAGAGAACCAAATACCACTCTTTCATTTTGTGAGATGTCTTTGAGTCTCTGGCAGGACACTCTGCAGCAGTTATTCATAAGTAGCTTCTTCCTTGATTATAAAATACCTTTGATTTATATCTAGAAAATATGAAATGCAGATGTTCTTCACTCTCTTCATCATCAGTTTCTTCCTGGTTTAGTGTGTGAGCACCCCTTTGTGTTCTGTAAGGGAAATTAAAGACTGCCCTGCAGAAGTGGCTGTCTATCGGCTTGTAAGAAAACCATTGCAGTGGAAGGTGGGAAGGAAAGTGTCTGTACTTTCCACTGCTTCAGCCGAAAAAGAGGAATGAAGGCAGTGCGGTTTCAGTGCTGTAAGTGGCAGTAGTGTGTGCGTATGTTGTACCCCTTGGGGGCTTTTGAAAAATGCATAAGCAGAAGTGGTGTTCATGTTTGCTTAAAATTTAGTCAGGAACTTGCACCTGCTTTTCTGCACAGCTGAAACATGCTGCTCTGGCAATGAGAGGCACCAATGTACCTGAATTCTGCTGAGATGGAGAGGAAGGAGCTCATGTCTGAGGGACCAGGACTGGAAAAGGACTCTTGCTTTGCTTCTGCTTCATTAACAAATGAAGTACTTGAAAGGGGCCTACAGGAAAGCTGGGGAGGAACTTTTTATTAGGGCAGATAGCAACAGGATGAGGGGAAGTGGCTTTAAACTGGAAGAGGGTAGATTTAGACTAGATGTTAGGAAGAAATTCTTTACCGTGAGGGTGGTCAGACACTGGAACAAGTTGCCCAGTGAAGTTGTGGATGCCCCCTCCCTGGAAGCATTGAAGGCCAGGCTGGATGGGGCTTTGAGCAACCTGGCCTAGAGGGAGGTGTCCCAGCCTATAGCAGGGGGTTGGAACTACATGATCTTAAAGGTCTCTTTCAACCCAAACCATTCTATGATTCTATGAAACTTGAGAGCTTTTGTGTTTGTGCTTACCAGGTAGGGAACCTGCTTTGGGGAGGGGTTGGACTCACTGATCTCTGGAGGTCCCTTCCAACCCCTACGATTCTGTGATTCTGTGTTCCCCAAGCCATAGGGATGGCAAAGACCTGTTGCCTCCAGTCATTCTGGGATAGGATCTGTAGCAGAGGTTAGGTTGCAGGCCTTGCTTGGGAACAACCTACCAGCAATCTCACAAGGAAGAGAAATCCTGATAGCTCCCAAATGCTATTTTATTTTCCTATTTAGCTTTTGGACAGCATACTAACCACGTGTATTTGTTTCAGTTTCTTTTCTTTCTGAAAAGCAGTGCATTTTTCTTCAGTGGATGTAAAAAGAGCAGTCTGAAGCAAGCGCTGAAATAATCATCCCAATGTATATTCTGAGATCATTAATCACCTTTAATTTGATTTGGAAAATAACTTGGGTTGATGAAACGCAAATGAAATTTACATATGATAGTATCTGAATGCTTGCTGATGCCAAATGCTCCTCATGTATGAGCAAGTAGGCAGTGCTGCAGGGGAAGATAAACATAAGCTATTTGACTTGTCTTAGTAACTGTTTCGTAATTGCCCGGGCTGATAGCAGGTGATTAGAAAGTTGGTGAGGATTTTTGTTTGCTTGTTTTTGTTTTTCAACTATTTGCATTGTTGCTTAATCAAACCTTAGAAGAACATCTGTCTCTCCACTGGTAGTGAATAAATGAATGTGACTTTGGTGAGTAATTGAAAGAACAGAGGTGCCAGGCTGTTGATGGTATTGTATAGTGTTGTAATACCAAAATATTTGTTCCTTTTGGTACAGATTGCAGAAGGGATGGCATACATAGAAAGAAAAAATTATATCCATCGAGACTTGAGAGCAGCTAATGTTCTGGTTTCAGACTTACTGATGTGCAAAATTGCTGATTTTGGACTAGCTAGAGTCATTGAAGACAACGAATATACTGCAAGAGAAGGTACGTACTTTTATGTTTGCCCTTAAAACTTCAGCCTCTGGGAGGCAGTGGGACTGTATCTAAAGATAATAATAAGGTCACCAAGGACAGAAAATGCCATAACAACTTCCTAGAGGCAGCATTTTAAACTTTTAAAAAGAATAAGGAAACAAATAATCTTTATGTGCTTCCCAGGCTTGTGGAAAACTTAATTTACAATATATATATATATATATTATATATATATATTATATATATATATATATTTATATATATTATATATATAAATATAATTTCCTCCTTTTAAAGGAAGTTAGGAAATGCACACATTCCTTTTTTCTAAATTGAACAAATTGATTATACGTCCACAGCTTCCATCCCACTGAATTAAGTGCTGAAAAACTATGAATTACTTTTTCTTCACATTCTAAGTGCCATGTGCACCACCTTTTCTCCACAGAAAGGAAGCAGTTGCAGTTGTTGCGAGGACCTTTTGCAAAACTGGTTGTCTTTTTAAGCTGTGGCTGTTTAGAAATAATTGAATATGAAATATGTTAAGATACACATTGAAATATGTTAAAATGCACACTGAATCTAAATTGGCTTTCTTTAAAATGGTAAAAGTTAGTTAAAGCTTTGTGAAGTTCCAACTGATGGGAATGGTAAGATGTTTTTTTTTTTTCCCCTGACAACTGGGCAGAAAGGAGAATGCTTACTGCCACTGTAATTCACGATGCTGAAGAGGCAAAAGGTGCCACGTACGAGGGTTGATCCAAAAATAATGCCTCTTGTTTCATTATGTTGGCCTGTCACGTCAGAGGTGGATGTTGGTGGCATGGCAGTAGAGGCTGGACCTTCCTGCCAGTGTTCCGTTATTGCTGTGTAACAGACAGCAACAGGACAGTCTGACAAAATGGCACATGATGTAGAAGTGTGGATAAAGCAAAGGTGTCATTGAATTCCTCCATGTCAAAAAAGAAATTGCCTTTGACTGATTGAAACCCCTTTGTTTTTTAGGTGCAAAGTTCCCTATTAAGTGGACAGCACCAGAAGCGATTAACTATGGATCTTTCACTATTAAGTCTGATGTATGGTCATTTGGGATTCTCCTGTATGAAATAGTTACTTATGGAAAGATTCCGTATCCAGGTATGGATGTATATTGATACTGTTTCTCTGTGTTTACACTTCAGTGTTACAAGGTGAATAAAATACCCAGGGAAAGGAGGCTGAGGCTTATTGCTCTCTTACAAAATCAGAGAGGTGCTTACAGCACAGAGCGGGGTTGGTCTCATCTCACTGGCGACAGGTGATGGGCCTAGGGGAAATGGCCTCAAATTGCTCCAGGGTAAGTTTAGGTTGGATATCAGGAAAAGCTTTCCAGAAAGGGTTGTTAAGCACTGGAATAGGCTCCCCAGGGAGGTGGTTGAGTCACCATCCCTGGATGTTTTTAAAAACCATTTGGATGTGGTGCTCAGGGACATGATTTAGTGGAGGGTAGTGGAGGGAGTTAGAGTAGGATGGTTAGGTTGTGGTTGGAATGGATGATCTTTTCCAACCTGAGCAATTCTATGATTCTGTGAAAGAGCTGGCATTGGACAGCAGCAACAGCAGTGATGTGGAAAACATCAAGCAGGTAAAATTCATGTTTTGAAAACTTTTAATCACTGTATGTGTAGGCCATGTGCATCTCTTGGGTAAATTTTAGTGAATGGACTAATAGCACCATGAATGAGGAATCATTTTTATATGTTCAGTAGTTACTACTGAGCTGCTACATAAGTCACTGTCTTTTTTTTTTTTTTTTTGATGTAATATTGAAAAGTACTAAGGAAGTGTGTTTTCACAAGCAAATAGGCTCGAATATTTTGTTTGTGTTAGCTAACCTAAACAAGTAAGAAAAGTGAGCCTAAAGCAATGTCTTGATGGACCACTAGGAATAGTTACACTGTTTTCCTGGGGTTCAGATACAAGGCCCTGGTGAGGACGTTGATAATGGCTACATTATGTAGCTGTGAAATGGTTTGGTGCTTTGTTTCGTATTTCTTTCTGCTAAACAAAATATCTACTAATGTTTCCAACACAGAGAAACAGCTTGGGTAAAGGATATTCGTGCATAGAAAAATGTTGCATCTCAGGCACAGCTGATCAGCTAGGAGCAAGCAGACTGCGCTCAAGCTTACTGACATAAAAAAAAAATTAACCTAAATTCTCCTATCTTGTGGGCAAAGGGAGCTGTATTCACCTGTAATGCTCACCTCCGCTTAGTAGATGGAGTAACTTCTGAGAAGCCTTAGAATCCTGCAGTTGGCAGACAGAGAAGGAGGATGTTAAAGGGATAGAACTTGGTGACTGAGAAGACTTAACACTTCTGGACATGGTGATGCAGGACCTCACGTGAGGTTCAAGCAGCAGGGGCAAAGGTGATGGCAGCCAACTTTGCGTTACGCGAGGGAAGAACATATCAGCTTTCCGTGCAAGACGTAGAGCCAAAACTGACAATCTGAGTCAAGATTGTCTCTCCGAGGCTCCAGTTCAGGGAAGCACTTAAATTCAAGAGCAACCCCCTCAACTACAAGAGGTGATAGGGCTGCTTACACAACTCAGTGTTTAAACATATGCTCAGGGTAACTTTTTAGGCAAGGGATATAAAATATGTACCTAACTAGCAGGTCCTCCCAGACCTACTCTAGAAAAATGCTCACATCCCCAAGGAAAGATCAGATGGAAGCTGTGTGCACCAGGGTAAGGTGTGTTTAAGGTGTGTTTCTTCCCACAGCTGGAATACTTTATTTCCCATTAGCACATTCCCATGTACCCAGACACTGCCCTATGCTGAGATGGCTTCCTAAGGTTATTTCTGAATGCCTTGAAAATTGTCCTTCCCTGAGCAAAGCTACAGGCTCACCTGGAAACCAACACTACAACAATCCAAAACCCAAACCAGTACTTAATCCTGCAGCTCAGCCTGCTGTCTCTTCAGCTCTGTAAAATCTATCATATTTCTAGTTTAAGAACAAAATCAATTGGTACAACACTGTACTGCTGTACTACTGTGGGAAAATTCTTTTTTTAGGGGAAACCTGGGCAGTTTTTTTTGTTTGTTTGTTTGTTTTTTATGTATGGAAATATTTTTATGAGCATGCTAAATAAGCTATATGCTGTGGATTCATTTGTCAGACAGCTGTTAGGTGGAGAAGCCTCTAGACTGCATAGTGTATGATCTTAATAATTCTCAGGCCGTGTTTGCATTAAGCTGCAAGAGGGATACATGTCTATTTTAAACAAAAGAGCAAACCAAGTCACCTAACAGACAGAAAGTTAACGTTGAAGAACCATTAGGACAGCAAAGTAAGTGGATGACCGATTTTTTTTCACATGAAGAAATGTGACCAGTTTGGGCAAATTACCCCAGGATGGCAAGAGTAAGTTATAGGATGTAACTAGCAGCCACTGGGGCAGAAACAGTAAATGGATTTTTCAATTCTAATGGGAACACTTAATAATTGAAAATAATATTTTGAAGAACCACCAGCAGGTAAGCTTTCAGCATAAAGCTGCATTTGAAAGGGTGTGATTTACGCTAGCAAAGAAAATCAAATTAGACAACTGTGTAGGAAGCATTTCCTGACAAAAAAGATGGAGCTCTTGTGATCTTTGTTCCTAAATTCCAACAGCTGTTTTTCTTCCAGAGAAACTCAAAGCAGGCAGTGGGACAATAGGTTCAGGAACTATCTCTGAAATATGGCACAGATCTGTAGGCAAGGAAGTTGAATTGGCTGTTAAAAATTAATTTCCAGGTGATTATACAGTATGTTGAATATTGGAAACAGACACATTTGCATCCCAATTATGTCAGCTGTTCTTCACAAGATGCACTATTTTCTATACATTGGGATTCTTCCTCCATACTGCTGTGTTTGCATCATTTCCTGGGCTCTATCATCTGAAATCATGTCTCTATCTATGAAGCTTAGCAGGTACCACAGTGTAAATTAAAACAGACCCATACAAAATCTGGAGTTGGTCCACTGCTAAAATATAAGCATGTAAGCATAACAGAAATGCAACAAATATGTGTCATTTACTGACTAGGGTGTAGTTTTGGTAATTCTTGCTGGAAAAAAGAACAGAAAAGTTGAATGAGTGGCTAGTTTGAGAGCACTACAAGGAGTTTAGGGTAGATAGGTAAGCTGTTTTGTTTTTAAGAAAACACATAACGAACATACATGAGCATGTATTTAGTATGAAATAGTGACAAAAGGTTTTTCAGTTTTGTCTTTTGAACTTGAAGAAAAAATATTTGTTAACTTACTTTAACAGTTAGTTATTTAACTAAAGCATTACTTGTCCTTGGCATTCAGCATGTAGCAATTATTCCTTAAAGACAGTAGACCTAAGCACAAGCCAAAAAGGTGCTTTAACTCCCAGCACTGGTCCTGTTCAACACAAAAGCTGAGGAGGAGCAGTCCCCCTGTGTTGTAGCTAGCCAAGGCTTTGCATAATATGACCAACTATTTCAGTGAGTACATTCTAAACATCTTATTTTCTGTATTTATTTTGGCTTTGCTTTGTCTATAGTGCAGTAACTGTATTCTGTGAAAACATCCCATGCCCCTGCTGGAGTCTTGGGCAGAACTGCCTGCATGCAGCATTCCAGCTGAGGAGCTGCCAGCAGCTGTCAGGGCTGGAATACCCTTCTCAGTACAAAGTTCTCACTGATAGAGGCAAATATCCAGGCTGAAACACAGGTGCTTCCCACAGGTGCCATCAGGGGAAGAAATGGCATTCCCTGAAATGTAGAAAGCTTAGAGTCTTGTGTTTTGGAAAAGATGGTCCTGGCATAATTACTCCATTGGGTTGCACAAACTGTACAGAGGAAGGGGCAGCTGAAAGGCAGGAAGCAGTTCTCTTGCTGGCCCAGGCATGTGAAGGATTGCCTTCTAAGCATAAGTGATCAGATCACTCTGAACCAAGCTCTCAAGGAGCTGAAAGGGGGAAAATAAGAAGGAAACAAGAGGAGGAGTATACAGTTGATAGCAGGCCACGCTCACAGGACTGGTCCTTGAGAGGCAGAAGCTGTACTGCTGGTAGTTCTTTTTCTGAGAAAAGGAATAGAGAACAATAATTGAGAAACAAAACAAAACTCAGCACAAATAGTACAAGGAAGAGGAGAGAGGAAATTGCCTGTTGCATGTAACAGTATCAGGGATGTCCCTTATCTTGCAATCAGCAAGTTACGCAAAAGACAACGTAGGAAAAAAAAAAAATCTGAAAGCTTCTTAATACAGCAAGGTTGCATTAACATGAGGGACTGGTCATGTGGTGAGACAGTTATGCTGCTCGCTGTTGGCATGGAGCAAGGAGGTTAGAACCTGCATGTAGGGACGCTAAGGAAAGAATGACACAGGTGGCCAGGGTGGGCACTGGGGCTGTGGCTCTCACCAAAGCAGAGGAAACAGTGGCAGCATGGATCAGCTCATCAAAACTTGTTTTTTTTTAAAGGTATGAGCAATTCAGATGTGATGGTCGCTCTTCAGCGTGGGTACAGAATGCCACGAATGGAAACCTGTCCGGCTGAGCTTTATGATATCATGAAAAACTGCTGGAAAGACAAAGCAGAAGAAAGGCCAACATTTGATTACCTACAGAGTGTACTTGATGATTTCTACACAGCAACAGAAGGGCAATATCAACAGCAGCCATAGAAAAAAAGACCACTTTTTTTCTATTGACATGGATCATTGGCACAGACTATTACTTGGAGAGACTGCTGTAACCAATTACTTTGAGTTTGGACATCTTAACCAAGTGTGGAAGCTGGAGTGCTGAAGGAAAGAGTAATTCTGAGCAAAATAATCTTTTTTTTTTTTTTTTTTTTTGTGGTCAAAGAAGTTATCTTTAAATGCTTGGTATTTTGCAGCTGCAGAAACATCCCAAATTGAGCAGACCTTTTGGATTGGGAAGGGAGACAGAAGGAAAGCTTATTCACCTGTGCCATTTTTCAAAGCCTTCTTAGGCTCAAAGTCATAAAATGCATTACAAGGATCCCTTTATAAAAGGCATACACAAACAGTAGCTTTCAAAAGAAAAAGGAACAACCCCCTTACCTCTTACATGTTTAAGTTGTTCCTCATGACAAAGTCATGACAAATGCAGCATACTGTTAAAATTGTTTCTGTATCCTTGTTATTTCACATTAGTAGTTGGAATACCATCATCTCTTGTCAGACTTTCTAAATAGTATAATGATTTATTTTAAGGAGGGGCTATGGATGTAGTTCTTGACATTGAGAACAATTGTTTTACTGCTGTTACTCATGAAATTTAAAATCCTCTTCAAAGCAATGCAACAGCCATCTGATGCAGAAGAGCATCCATGAAGGCAGGCTCAGCAGCGTGCCCAGCTCTGCGTTCAACCTCCAGTTTCCCACAAGGCCTAAGTTATCATCTGAAGTCAATGGGAAAGCACAGGATGGTGAAGGAAGTTCATACATTCATTGCAATCACTGCTACCCATGGAAATATTGTAAGATTAATTTTTAATCATGTGATTATTCAAGAATATTTCTTAATTTTTGCTGCTTCAATCAACTAACCCTAAAGCGGTTTTAAAACTAAAACTAGCTCAAGCACAGCCCAAACCAATTTGTGGAGAGATGCAATGGGATTTTAAGTAAGTTATAGCATCTCTGCAATTTAACTTTCCTCGTATATAAATCTGTAGCTCTAAAAGGAAATGCAGTTTGCTATGCTCTATATATCAAATTGTTTTTATCAAAATGATCAAACAGATGAGCTAGTGCAATTGCAATGCACCTACAGTATAGATGTAGGTTTTTTCTTTTGATGACACTGGCTCTCACCACTGAAACCCAGGACATCTTTGCCACCTCTCACCTTACCCAGTTGTTCAGGGAAATGGTACTTTGCAGAAGCTTCAGATTCTTCATTAAGCTTTGGTGTGCCTGCAGCTAAAGTTCAGCAGCATCAGCAATCATTGCTTTTTCTCCATCGGCTTCCTTCAGTCAAACTGTGCTGTTTAAGCAGACTATCAGTTAAATATGTAAATACTGTTTCTATTATATGGTGATTTTTAATTTTAAATAAACACTTAGTCTGAAACAAGTTGTACAGTAGTAATTTGGGACAAAAAAGTCTGATATTCTATCTGTAGCAGTAGCTTCACATGGAACATCTGTTCATTACCATTAATGAGTTTCTTTTACAATGGTAAATATTAATGGATGCTGCTTGCTTTATATCAGTTCAGCCTGAAGCCACCAAAGCAGCCAGCCATTTCCACATCTCTGTTTCTTTTCGGAGGGGAGGAAGAGATTTAGTCTTCAGCTGTCCTTTAGAACAGCACCTCCATGCCCTTTAACCTAACATCCTTTAACACTGTGGAAAGGATTACAGACAAAAATCGGTAAGAACTTCACTACAGGTTTTGCTTTAATTTAAGGGAAGGGAAAAAAAGACACCACAACCTTGTTTTTTCAAACCATTTCCTAAGGTCAACAAAAGTATTTTGGAAAGTCAGAGCATGCATGGAAACAGCGCTTGCTCAGGGAATAAAAGATTATTGCTAATATTATGCAAACCTGCTCAGATAAAATCTCAGACCAGGACAAGTGTGTCCTGACAAGTGCACAGCAGGAGGTCATTTAAAATGCTATAGCTTTAGCCTAGTGTTTGACCACTGTTGTCCTAGAGCAATTTGTACTTAATCTTCTCATTCAAGGGATCAGCACTCAGTGTATTGTGGCGCAGCACCAAAATATTTTTCAGTAGCTGGAATAGCTTGTGTCAAAGAAGAATATTTTAGAAATTCTACCAGGTAGGGAGTGTAGGCTTTTAGAACTACTGGTGCCAGATAACCTAACATAGAATCATAGATTCACAAGGTTTGAAATGACCTATAAGATCCTCTAGTCCAACCGTCTCCTCATCACCATTGCCACCACAAGCACTAAAACATCTCTCACAGCTCCTCATCCAGACACCTCTTGAACACTGCCAGGGATGGCGACTCCACCACCTCCCTGGGCAGCCATTCCAGTGCCTGACCACTCTCCGAGAGAAATGGTTCTTCCTTATGTCTAATCTAAACCTCCTCTGGTACAACTTGCGGCCATTTCCCCGGGTCCTGCTCATTGCCTGGGAGAAGAGGTCAAATCCCTCTTCACCACTCTATTCTTCACCACTATATTCACCACAGACCGGTCAACACACAATACCGGCACTGGTTCAAGTCCCACCTCTTCAGACAGACTGAAGACACAGCAGAGCAATTGTTCATCACTGTATTTGAACAGCCTGCCCCAAAGAACCTGTAGGAGTGTCACATCAGTGAAGGGCTGTTGCAGTGTCATGCAGGAAAGCTGCACCACCTAGTGACTTCAGCATGAAGCAAAGGTTCTCACTCCAAACTGAGTTCCCTTCCATCACGAGAAACAGCACAAACTGATCATTCCAAGTTATATAAAAGCTCTTTGTTTTATAGCAGTTCTTCAACTCCTACAGGCACAGTACTTTCCCAGTAATTAAAAAAAACTTCACTCTCACAGACTGAAATGGCTGCAAGAAAACTATTTTCAGATTTACCATGCTCCAGTCTTGCTGTTACATTGAGTTGGTAGATACAGATAAGTTAAAACCAGAGTTATGTTTCTTTAAAGTCAAGACCATCTTATGTCAATCACTATGGCAGTTCAACCTCAGTTTATGACAGTTGGCTTTACTGAATATAACCTTTATAAAATGAACAAAGCTTAATATAATAATTGAAAGTTTTATTCATAATACGTTTTTCAAAGTTTAATATATACACTTAGTGGAAATTTAAATGATATTAAAGCAAGTTAGCCGAAAAAATAGAGAGGAGATAGATAAGACCTCATTTTGTTTCTTTTATGAGATCTTATTTGGTCAGTTTAGTCCCAAAAGGGTAGTTCTCAGGTCAAAGTTACAGTACTTTTGAAGAAGCAAGCTATTTTAGCCACTTGTTATAAGCTATCTCATTTCTAGGAATCAATAACAAAAGAAAAATACTTCATTTATAAAGGTACAAGCAACAGATGAAGAATATTCCACTTTGTGTGAATCGCATACAAGTACAAGAGACCTTGATAGCAGTTACTTAAGAATTTAAGATGTATAAAATACACTGATTTCTAATATTGATCCAGCTCAAATAACATCCCCATATCAACCATAAAAGCAGACATTCGGGTCTGTACTTACATAACCCTAAACCTAATACAACTTAACTGACAAACGTTTAACATAATAATGAAGAGGGCATCTAAGAGTAGAAAAAAGCACCTACCAACAGTATGAGATTGATAAAGCAGTCCAGTAATTGCTAGTTTTGTTAATCAAATATTATTCCTTTGCTTTATGAGCAAATAACATGTGTTTTCTTGAGGTTGAAGCCTCTTCATGCTTCCCCCAGCCTCTGCCAAGAGGTGTGCCAGCAGTAGCTGCTACTGTGGATTTCAGGTTAGCCAACAAACCTCTCCTGGGTTTCTGCTGTTTTGAGTCCTCAATAGAGAAATGCTTTTTGCGTCCATCAAGTTCTTTTTGCAGGGAAGACACTGTTTCTTCGAGCTCAAGAGCACGTTTAGCCCAGTTCTGGAGACTATTCATTTCTTGATCCTGTGAGCATAAGGCTGCATTAGCTGTGGGAACGCTCTGAAGTCTTTTTCATACGAGTGACTTCCTATTTCAGACAGTTTTATTGTTTTTGGTAAACAACCCTATGATTACTATATCAAATGACTATTCAGCAGCCATTTCTTCTGGATTACTTTTACATAATTAAGAGAATGGCAAACTATTGGGCCAACAGATCTACTTAGGATCTGCCTGAATAAACTGACTCTAAAATGCTCAGCCACACCATGTGAACAATTTCACTTGTTCTAGGAACCAAATAAAGAAGTCTTTCCAGTATCCAGCTGCAAGCTTACTATTGAAACAAAACTGGTCAAATCAAAATTCATATCACAGTTACAAAGTCTGCTAACCAGAACTGAATAACTTTCTTCGAGTAAATAGAACACAGTCTTAAAGACATTCTCTAGACTTCATGATTAACAAGACCACAACTTCCTAAGTCTTCAAACCAATTAAGAAAAATGAAGTTGAATATAATTAATTTTCAAACTCAGACTTGGGACTTAAATGCAAGTTAATATTCACAGAGGAAAACAACACGGCAACCTTTTACATGGTTTCATTTGCAGTTTACAAATGAGGCATACATGCAAAGCATCAAGAAGTCAACTTTTCATATTTCACTTTGGCAGCCAGGTCAGGTGCCATCACCTTCATGAAGCTTTTGAAGTTTACCTGCCCAAAGCTACCAGCCAGCTCAGCCACCTCTGCAAGAGGGGTAGGACAGGTTTCAAGCCAAAACTCACAGGGTTTTGTTGCATTAACACTAGTGTACCAACAGCTCGCCTGTCTTCAGCAAAACACATCATGATTTGAGAGAATTCTGCAAGAGTTCCAAGTTGCATTTTATGTGCTTGGCAACAGGTTAGGACATCTTTAGGTCAGCAAGAATTATCAGCACCGTCAGTTTCCCTATTGACTAAGTCCATCACTTAATAATAAAGGAGTCTTATAAAACTCCTTTCCTCTCCTTTGTTATAACACCAGACACAAAGCCAAAGTGTGAAGTCTGAGGGCTGTAAGCTCAAAAACAATTACTAAAACTGAACATTGTTTTTACATGTGCAAACATGTAGAAACAACCAATAAACCTACAGAAACAAGTCATATTAGAGTTGTTTTGAGAAGACTGACAAACCTTAAGCATGATCGTATGCTTCAGCCTGCTGTTCTCTTCTGCCATTTTTCTGTAGCCTTCATTAGCTTCCAACAGTGTTTCATTTAATTTCTGTATTTTAAGCTTCAAAGATTTTATAAGCTGAAAATAGAACCCATACACACTCAAGTTTCAAGACACCATATTTCATATGAGCTTAGTTCATGACTAGAACTGGTACATACACTGAAAGCCTTTCTGCTTAATACTGAATAGGGCAAACTAAGATCAAAGCAACCAAGATGAAGACTGCTTCTTCCAAATCCTAATGTCCAAACTCATAATTTCTAGCAAGACACATGCCAGAGTATTCAAGGGCCATTGTGCTAAAGCCAATGGATTGCACAGACCTGGCAACCAAAGAACATCAGTATAGACTTCTAGAACAATCTGCTTCTTTTCCATAAGGGTAGTTAGAAGAATTCTCTCTCATCTCATATTCTGGAGTGCAGTTACAACAGAAAACCTCATTTTCTGATGCAAAGATAGATTTTACTATTGACAGATTGTTTTCAGAGGGGGAAAAAAAAAAACCTTCAAACCAGAAATATTATATGGATTTACATCAACACAGTTGTATGAAAAACTTCTAGATTGCTAAATAAAATTTGTTAAACACAGACCAAGGTGAGTGGGAGAGAAGAAAAGTAGTCAATCACTCACACATGCACAGATACTGTGAGCCAAAGCAGTGGAAGGGCACTAATCAAAGCAGCTGCTTCAATCTATGCTCACTCCAGTTATTGCCAGGCAGCATGGCAACTGAAAAGAATCAATACTGAATGCTCTTATCAAGCATTGAAACCAGATTTGCTTTCTGGCATCAAAATTTGAAACTGACATAGGAAATGGAAAATGCTGTAGAGCTATCAAGACCAGGAGTGGAAAATAAATGCCGGGGCCGTAAAACGAGACATTAAATTTGGTAAGGAAAAGTTATTTTTGGACTATACTTTTTCTATAGGAATGGATGTAAGTTCACTTTCCATTTACATGGTATATTAGAACCAGCTGGATCTGTTTCTCCAAATCCTACTCTTATTTGTTATTAGTGAAAGGAGCAACCCTCATCATTTCCCTCCCCTCCATCTTCTTTAAATATGGGAAACTAGCTAAAGCCTTGCAAAAAGGTCGTGTGATGTGTAGACTAGAAATATCTTTCTAAAAACAATATTGTTTTCCATAACACAGAATGAAGCCCACAACTTCACTGTCTATATGCTATTCAGAACTGGAAGGATCTTGTTTGTTTAAAGAGAGATCTCACTCATTACCTAAACTTAAATGGATG